AATATAAAAGAGGAAGTTCTCACCTCAGAGGTCAGACTCTCCGGCCGCGTGATGTCAGAGGCGCCCGCTCTGTACAGGTCCCATTTTGTAACGGCGCCAAAAGCAGGACTGTAACTGTAAATAAATCATCTAACGCTCTCAGTCTGGACTCCGCTATCTTTGTGAGCTGCCAGATCTCCCTCAGTTCCAGTCAAAACGTGACCACCCCATTAAACGAAAACACAGAAATCGTATTTGCCGTTTCACATTCTGTTAAAAGAGCCAAACGAAGATTTCAGCTCCAAAAAGGGTCAGTTTTTTTTATTTTTAGTCCCTTTTTTGGAAGGTCAAGCTTTAAATAACTGATATTTACGACTTGATTTGACATATTTAGATATTTTTTACACTGTGAGTTGTGCATAGTGCTGGTAAAATAACTCAAATGACTGAGTTTTATCGGTGTCTGGTCACAGATTTGTATTATTTAGGATGCATCTAATGAACACTGGCAGTTCCTACGTGTCCTGAAGGCGTCGTGGCAGCTGCCTCTGGTGGTCCCTCTCACACGGACCGGCCCAGGGGTTTACACTTCAGGCCCAGAAACAAAAGAAGAAGATCACAAATATGACATCATCCAGCCACTTTTAGGACAGATTTTAGGTTATTTTGCATCTAAAATTGGAGCAAAATGCACTTAACGGGGAAAACATTAAGTTTTCCATCCATGAACTTGTCAGGAAATTCTCTATCTTTATTTTGAGTTATTTGAAAATCAGCCTTTGGGCTATAGCTGGATCGGGCTTTTCCTGAAGGCACACAGTTCTCCAGTCCACCGTTAGAAAAATAATTTATTGCAGCATTGAGTTAGAATTGGATCATTTTATCGTTTTTACATCAAGAATCCACGTTTGCATCCACGTCAAACCGACAATTCAACACCACAGAGACACGACACGGGCCAGATTTTGTTTTTTTCTCCCACACAGCTAAAGACGGTGACGCACACACACACTCACACACACACAAAGATCCTCACAACCACGTCTACATCGATGCGTTTGTCCACTTTTTTTTTCTTGTTTTCTCACAATACAAATGAAGAAATGCTCGTTTGGTTATTAAATACAGACCAGTTTGAAATGAGAAAAAACTCCAGTTGCATCCAGTGGATCTGACCCGCTGTGATCTAAGAATCTACCCAAAAAAACTGCGTTTAAAGGGGAACTCCACCCAGAACAGGCTGTTCACAGGGAGGCCACAAGCTGAGGAGACCCTGAAACAATAGTTCTGCTGGGGGTGGGGGGGGGGCTCCCTCCCATAATGCACCTCTCCATGTCCATGTGACTCCACTGCTGTCATTGGCTGTGCTTCTCTCCAAGCAGGCGTCTCTGGCCCCTCTTTCCTGTCCTATCTGCCCCCAGCCGGGCCTCAAAGATGGCCGCCCCTCCTGGTTCTGGTTCTGATGGAGGCTTCTTCCTGTTCAGAGGAGGTTTTTTCTTCCTACAGTCACTTTGTGCTGCTAAACGTTGCTCATAGCTTGGAAACTTTTGTTAATTGTTTCTCTGAATTGGACTCACTGGAATTTGTTGGATCAGGATTTGTGTTGATGCTCCTGAGGCTCCTTTTTTCTGGTTTAAAAAAAAAAAAAAGTGATTAAAAAAGCTTTTCTTTTTGAAGTCAAATCAAAAAATCTGATCAGATTTTTATATTCGTTTATTCTTTTTTTGCGTTAATTGTTCGTCGAGGATGAAAAACCTCGGTCAGAACCGGGACCCGGTGGGGGTCCAGCTGCCTCCACCGGCTGGGGTCAAAGGTCACACCAGGGCTGAGGGTCTGGATCTGACTGGTTAATGAACCGGGCTGAATCGGCCCCCTAAAGTCTAAAAGCACATCAGTGATCGGTGAGGAGTGGAGGAGAAGCCGTGGAGTGGAGGGGGGCCGGAGCTGGGGGGGGGTCAGATGGAGATGGGGCAGACCAGGACCCGGTCCTCCAGCATGACGCTGAGCACCAGGAAGACGAAGTAGAGGGCGAACATGGTGAGGCCCAGCAGCTTACTCATCCTCCAGCGGCACACGGCGATGGACACGATGACGAAGAGCAGCATGAGGAAGAGGAGCACGATGGCACAGAACAGCCCGTTGGAGCTCACGGCCACCGGGGCCCCCCCGTGCAGGGAGGTGTAGATCAGCCAGGGCACCGGCAGCCTGGGGGAGAGAGCAGGGTCACACACCAGAGACCAGGACCAGAGACCAGAAACCAGAGAGAGACCAGAAACCAGAGACCAAAGACCAGAGAGAGACCAGAAACCAGAGAGAGTCTAGAAACCTGAGACCAGAGAGAGACCAGGACCAGAGATAGACCAGAGACCAGAAACCAACACCAGATAAAGACCAAAGACCAGAGAGAAACCAGAGACCAGAGACCAGAAACCTGAGATAGACCAGAGACCAGAAACCAAGACCAGAGACCAGAGAGAGATAAGAGACCAGAAACCAAGACCAGATAAAGACCAGAGAGAGAGACAGGAAACCAGAGAGAGACCAGAGACCAAGACCAGAGATAAACCAGGACTAGGGAGAGACCAGACACCAGAAACCAAGACCAGATAAAGACCAGAGAGAGTCCAGAAACCAGAGACCGGAAACCAGAAACCAGAGAGAGACCAGAAACCAAGACCAGATAAAGACCAGAGACCAGAGAGAGACCAGAAACCAGAGAACACAGACCAGAAACCAGAGAGAGACCAGA